ACAGGAAGTAAATTCTGGCTTCATCATGCAAAATGTTCAGGGTTTAGTCGTGTATATTTACACATGTTGTGCAACAAGTGTGCACATGTTCACCTGTACATAGTAAGTCATATCTAATGGAGACCTAGCAGACTCTGGAGTCCTATCAGAGCACATTCAGAGGTAGAGGAGCACTACAGGGCACCACAGGAGATCTTTTCTACCTGTGGCCATCAAACTGTATATTCCTCCACCTTCTGAAGGTAGGAGAGCTGAAACAAAAGACACTGACTGGCTACATTAGGTGCACTATTACCTAATACCATGCACATTACTACTTTTCATATCTTGTGCAATATTTTTTATAACATAATGTGCAATATTATCCTTCAATATCATGTTCATTTGTCAATGTAGTGCAATGTAATTTCCTCTGACAGACAACAACACATAACATGATATAATGGGCAGATTCTAGGAGGCTTAAAAATAAAAATAAATGCAGATTAATAGGAACTCATCATCCATACTCCTATTGTTACTCTATTAGCCACTGGATTTTGCTTTTGCTCCTTAAAAACACGTCTACCTTGTATTTTTGTATATTTTACCAGATATTTAATACACTATTGTTCTAAATCTGGTGCCAGTGAGTGACCCTGACCTGGGAACCCACTGGTTGTCTGGTTGGTACTGGTTGTGAATCGTTAAAATTGTGGTTACTGTAATTAAAAGCATTCCCTTGCACAAGAATTTCCTTCAGGATAAATAAAGTTGGATTGAATTGTATTAAAGGAATAGTTCAGAGTCAGTCGGCGTGACCCTAGGTTGGAGAAGCAGGCCAAATGTCGGCACTGAAGCCAAGCAATGTATTACTGTGGATGGGGTCAGCAACAAAACTTGCTTTAGCAATCTAAAAAATGAATATCAGTTTAAGTGTACGCTATATTTTGATTTTTTTTTCACTGTTTTACCTTGAAGTCAGACAGCGATTTCTGACGGGGAAACAAAGCCATTATATTGCTTTCTTCAAGGCCAGACTCCATTGAGAAAACTAGTAATTTAACATCACTTAACACAGGAGCTGCTGGTCTACCACTGCATTGATCAGTTAGTTTGTTTGTGTTATTGTGTGACTTTGGCATTTGAAAGGGTTTGTTTGGATTCACCGGAGTTACACAACAAGACAAACAAACTGACTGACTGAGGCAGTGGTAGACCAGCAGCTCCTGTGTTTAGCACGCTTAAATTGCTGTTTTTGTCAATGGAGTCTGTTGGCTTTGACAAGAGCATAGATGGGGAACTGAAGCGGTTATTGGCTTCCCCATTGGAAGGGGCTGTCTGACAGAAAGGTAAAGCAGTGATAATACTCTCAAGTTAGCGTACACTTTAATTTATATAGATCTTTTTAGCTGGCTGAAATATGGTACATTTTGCTGCTGCCCTTCATTCACAGCAGTACAGAGCATTGCTCCAAACTCCAAACTGGAGGCACACCGACAGTTTTCTGTTGTATATAATACACTGACTATGCGTAAGTACCCCATACAACCCCACTTCAAAAAATCTGAACTACCCCTTTAATCTCACTAGAGCCAGTGGTTCCAACACGGGCCTAAATAGGTAAAGCCAGTGTTGTCTTCTTTTCTATCTTGTAATTCATCTTGCAACACCTGCAATTCAATACAGCTTGTTCACATGCAATAGCTGTGTACTTGTTTACCTTTCTTTATGTTTAGACACTGTGTGTACATTGTGAGCCACTGACAACAGGAGGCGAAAAATGTTTGAACTTTATTAACCTCTGAAAACTGACATAAGACAGTAAACTCATGACAAGTGCTGCACATAAGGAAAGCAGCTGGATATTACTGTAATGTCCCATAAAGCTGCACTGGTAGAAAGATCAACAGTTATATTTTAGTATTCCTGTCCTATCACATCAAGGGCAGTAAGTTCATTTATTTTGTGGGGGCTGAAGTTAACACACTGGGCCTCAGAAGGGTGGGGAGCTGAAGCTCACCCCTGGCACACACTATTGTTAATCAAGGAGTAACATCTGTTGTGTGCCACTAATCTCCCCCAGACTGTCCTCCTCGGTTTTAGACTGTCTGCCTTTTGTGTTAAAGGGCACCAAGGATTTGTCTCCTTGACTGTGTAGGCTGTAGTGTGTGTGTGTGTGTGTGTGTGTGTGTGTGTGTGTGTGTGGGGGGGGGGGGGGGGGGGGGGGGGGGGGGGGGGGGGGGGGGGGGGGGGGGGGGGGGGGGGGGGTCTAGAGAGCGAGCGATTTAGCAAAGAAATGCAGACGTTGCATGTTGTGTTTTGTAGTCCTAAGACACAGATGATCAAAACAGCTCGTTGCATGAAGTAGGAGTTGTGCAGTTCAACAAGTTTGTCAGTGTGTGTTGTCGGTGTCACAACCATAGGGGGCAGTATCCACCAATCATAGTGCAACAAGACTGAGCTGGAGTGTAATCCCCTCTGTATATTTGAGAAATAATAAGCCTTAATTTAGATGTTTTTAGTCATTTATCTTAGACTGTCTTGATGCAACTGTAGCAAGCATATGGCTAACAGTAAATAGGAAGTGAGCTTCCAACTCCCAGCACTGAGACCCCATGCAGAATGCTGTATGCCATCTGTGGTTCACACTGGCCTCAGACAGATGGCCGAGGGATTCCTGTTACAGGAGCCATCCTTTCTCAACTTTAATGAACAGTTAATCCTCTCCGTCCCTGACAGAATTCCTCATTCTATGATTCACGTTTTCATTCACAATTTTATACAAGATAAATTAAAACAGTTAACTCTGTTCAAACTGCACCAGAAATTAGCTCCAAGGCTGAAATAAGCAGAATGATGCGACTATTCTTCAATGCATTATTTGATTTTGTTTGCCATTTGTAGAATTCAAAAGCTTTTAATCAGTGAGCAGAAATCCCAAATACACACTCAACCTTTAAAAAAGTTTAGTCAAGGCAAGAAGGTGACACTTGAGTAAAAGAAAAACACTGACACCATTTGTCAAACTGCAGTAGTACATGCATTAAGTTAACTTCTCTGCAGCTCGTTGTTGGACTTATTCTCTGATGTTCCTCAGTGGGGGGGCGATACTGTAACTACAGTCGGAGCACAAAGGGAGCATATGGCTTTCATGGAACTCCATCTAAATTTCACTGCGTCTCATCTATCCCACTAATCCTTGCCTATAATGTTTATAGCCAAGTTAATTGAACTGGCACATCTCTGTGGCTTTGGAGATCCCTTCTAAGAGGCTCTAAAGCTGTGCTTTTGCCAAGGCGTGCACATTGCTAAAACCTCCACAGCATCTGAAAGAGGTGCAGCTGTTCTTCCAGTAACGGTTCATGAGTGACTGTGTGAGCGAGGTATTTAGAAAAAGGGCCGCTGAGCTCAGTCGTACGGATGTTTATATGATAAGATAAAGTAACTAAAACCCCTAGATCCACCTACCTTTTACAAGTTAAATTCTGTAGGGGTAAAAGTTTGGGATATTTGGTGAGGTGAGGTGGCCATAAGTTTATACCTGTGTTTATGGACACTGACAGTGCTGGAAGAAGCATACGCATAGTGAAAACACTATTACATATAAGTCCTGCATTCAAAACTTTACATATAGTGCTATCAAAAAAATGTACTTGGATATTTAAAGTCAAAGTCCTTAATGAGTAGACGTGCCTCTTTCAGGATGTTATATTACTCTTATATTGTATTATTACTACCATTGCATCAACATACGGTATAAGCAGTCTTTTAACATTGTAGCAGATCAAGATTGAGCCAATTTTATATTCTGTTTAACAGTTTCATCTTTAGCGAGAAGTATTCTACACCAACCTAGCAATACAACAACATCATGTATTATTGAATATTATATTTGTGGATGAATATTACAGCTCTATTAAAGGGACAGCAACTCAAAAATCAAAAATACATACTTTTCCTTTTACCTGTAGTGGTGTTTATCAGTCTAGATTGTTTTCATGTGAGTTGCTGAATGTTGGGAGATATCGGCTGTAGAGATGTCTGCTTCCGTTGAATATAATAAAAGTAGATGGCACTCAGCTTGTGGTGCTCAAAGTGCCCAAAATATACATTTGAAAAATTCAACAGCAATGTCTCTTTCCAGAAATCATGACCCGGTTACTCAAGATAATCCACAGACCTTGTTGTGAGCAGTTTCATGTAGGAACTACTTTCTTTCTACCAAAGTACACCTGCCAACTGTATCACTGCGCAGAAGGAGTGGTGCATCTACTCATGGATGAGAGGCTTGTACTTGTGACAATCCTTGGTAAGCTGTTAACGTTAGCTAGCTCAGTGGTGTGAGGTAAGCTAACGGTAGATGCACACCTCCTTCTGTGGGATGATATGGTTGGCAGGTGTAGTTCGGTAGAAAGAAAATAGTTCCCACATGAAACTGCTCACAATAAGGTCTGTGGATTATCTTGAGTAAGAAGGTCATGATTTCTAGAAAGAGACATTGCTGTTGAGTTTTTCAAATGTATTTTTTTGGCACTTTGAGCACCACAAGCTGAGTGTCATCTAGTTCCATTATACTGGAGAGAAGGCAGACATCTCCAACACACCAAAACAATCTAGACTGATAAGTGAAACTACAGATATAAGAACTTATACTTTTGATTTAGGGGTGAACTGTTGTATTGTTGTAGTTGGTCAAATCTTTCCTACTTTTTTGTTGTTAGGTAGGTCAGTCTATAACAACACATCATATGCCATGATTACATTTGTATGTATTTTTTTATCAGCTAAATAACAACTACCTAAACCTGTCACATTAATGTTGAGTACAAACCACAATATGATGGAAATAAAGTGGTGTAGAAGTATAAAGTAGCATAAAATGGCCATAATCACAAAAAGTTCCAGAAACTTTCCTGTCTGGTCACTGGTTTTTCAGAGCTCTTGTTCTGAAATTCGGCCCACCAACATTCTGAGGAACAGAGAGCACATTATTTTGAGGACAGTAATTGGTCTTCACGGCCTGGGGTGAGTAACGGATTTATTGAGGAACAGTTGCTGTTGAGTCAGTCAGTTGATTTGCTGTGAAACAGTGAAAACATAGACATTCTTTAACTACTACAGAGAGTGTATTTTTGTTATAATGTGTCAAGTAAATTACATAAAGTCTGTTTTTGCATAACTTTGTTCATAGTGCAGTTTGAAGCCTTTAATCTGTTCAGTCATGTTCGAGGCTAGACATTAAAGGAATACTTCACCCACAAAATGACCATTTGTACATGAATTACTCATTGCTCGTTACGTTGGATTTGTGAGGAAAGTATTGTTTTTCTCGCATGCCCTACATGGTGGACAAAGAATCCAAAAATGAACATTCTCGATGAATTGAATTAAAGGGGGATCACGTTCAAGGTTTTACCAAAATAAATTAATATTGGTGAAACTTGGAGTTGTGTGAGAGTTTGCTAACAGATGTTGTGACGTAGTTTTGCTGTTATTAAACATGGCCCCTTTAGTTCAATTCATCAAGAATGTTTGCTGTTTTTGGATTCTCCGTTCACCATGAAGGCATGTGAGAAGCAAAGTTCTCTTCCAAAATTCAATGTAATACGGGGTGACAACTGATATACAAATGGATTTTGTGACTAAGGTATTCCTTTAAAAGAATATATAATTTGTACTTGTTAGGAATGCAGCATTTAACGTGAAATTTACCACTAAATCCAGAACTGAAATAGACAGAGCACTTGTGGAAAATTAAATATATTACAATTTTTATACATTCTATATATTTCCCCCCCAGTAAGTGCTCCCACATTGATATGTACAAAACAACAAAAATAAAACCTCAGTTAAAAATATTTGGATTGACTAATACTGCGCAGTCTGCACAGTTTTTGGGGATCCCTCTCCTCGAGAATCCCCCCTCTGACTCTCCATGTGCGCCTGCACCGACCTCCACAGTGCCCTGATGTTCCCTTCCCCAAAACCCGTCGCCCCTCTTCGCTCTATCAACTCCAGGAAGAAGGTGTCCTCTGCGAAGATGGGCTTGGTGAACACCTGGAGAAGGTATCTGGGAACAGAACATAGCAAGGTGAGGACATTTGGTTGGCCTTATGTAACCGTGAGAAACATGTTGACTTGGTATCGGCGCTAAAAATAATTCAACATGCGATGCAGATGCTAATTTAAAAGGGGTGTGAGATTACAACTCTCGATTGCCTCTCACCTTTTGCTTTCACTGGGCGCTGTCTCCGATGAGGGATCCCGGTGCAGGGCTGTGTCCAGGAGAATGCCGTGCTGCGCCAGCATCTGGGGGTTGTGTCCTGCCTCCTCTATCTCCTGCTGTTTCCCCACCTGTCACAGGAAAGGTAAAAGATTTGGGAACGACCATAGAAGGTGACGCATTCACACATATGACCAGTTTATGTTAGAAACTATTATTCAATGTAACAATGAGCAACAGAAACTGCTTTGTTGAACCACTATAAACTGGATAGTTTGTGTAAATGGTGGGTCATTTCTTGCATTCATCAAGTCACCATTTGTTCATCTGCTATGGTAAAAAAGTTGATGTGCAGTTCTGTATGAGTCGGTCAAACCTTGGTGTAGTAGGCATGAGGAGGGGAGAAGAACTGGACACCAGCGTCAGCCATTGCAGATGCAGTAGAAACAATGTTTTCTGTGTACAGCCCAATGTGCTGGATCCCCGGAGCTCTGTGCTGCTCCAAGAAGGTGTCGACCTGATTCCTGCCTGAAAGAAGACAAAGCACATACTGATGCAGGAGTTGTAGTATGATCCATTCTGACAGAAAGGAAATACATTGAAAGATGTGAGTTACCTTGTTCAGGCAGTGATTCTGCAATGACAAACTTGCAGTCAGGCTCTTTTCTGTCCACAGAGGGGAGCAAGATTCCAGCTTTGCTGCATTTCCAGTACTCCATGGCTGTCAGACGTAGTCCAATACCCTCCTGGTTTATGACAAAACCTTCGTCCACATCTTCATCACTACCCAAAAGAAAGGTCATATTTATTACTGAAATCAAGTTGAAGAAAATATACAAAATTATAGATGAAGCACTTGTTTTTGCTCCCATTTTTCATGAGCTGAAATAAAAGATCTAAGACTTTTCCTATGCACGCAATTATTTTATCTCTCTAGAATTAGTGAGCACTTTAATCCATCCACCTCACAGGTGTGGTATTAGGTGCAGATTCAACAGCAGGATTATTACACAGGTGTAAATGTGCTGCTCACAGTAAAAGGCCACTCTACAATGTGCACTTTTATCACACAGCACTGTCGCAGATGTTGCCTGTGAACTGAGGTTACCATACCACCACCATAAACTGTCTTTTTTCTGAGAATTTGGCAGTACATCCAACCGGTTTGATGAGCCAACCCAGGACCTGCACATCCGAGGTCTCATTTAGAAACATTGCGTACGCACAAAACGAGGCCTGAAAGAGGCGTACGCTACTGCACACGCATAAGGTTGTGATGTATAAAACAGGCATGATGGGAGAAACTTTGACCCATGCTTACAAGCATTTTGGAGACAGAAAATTGGCGATGCAGATGGTTAGGTGGAAGCCTGATTGTAGATTTTGTCGAATATTTTTTTCTGCACACAAATTTTGACTTTTGAAAGGACGTAGATTTTTAGTATGGATCCTATACATTGTTTTATAAATGATACCCCCGGCCTCTTCACTTCTTAGATAAACCAAAAACCAGCCACTGAGATGAGCTTCCCTGAGACGGTTTCTGACAGTTAATGCAGAAATTCTTCAGTTGTGCAAACCAACTGTTGCATCAGGTGTCTGGGTGGCTGGTTTCAAACAGTTCTGCAGTTAAAGAAACAGGATGTGAGATCAGCTACTGAGATGAACGTCCATAAGATGGGTTCTGACAGTTTTTTGTTTGGTTGGGCAATCCAGTTATTGTACCAGCTGTCCGGGGGGCTGGTCTCAGACGATCTTGCAGGTAAAGAAGCCGAATGTGAGACCAGCCACTGAGATGAGCGTTCCTACAACAGGTTGTGACAGGTTGTGCAGAAATTCTTCAGTTGTTCAAACCAACTGTTGCATCAGCTGTCCTGGTGGCTGATGTCAGACTATCTTGCAGGTGGAAAAAAGCCTGAAATAAAGGTCCTGAGCTGGTGTGGTTACAAGTGATCTTTGGTTGGATGTACTGCCAAATTCACGGAAGCAACACTGAAGAAGGCTTGTGGTAGTAAAAGGAAAATTCAGTTCATGGTCAACAGCTCTGGTGGACATTCCTGTGCCTGAAATAAAGGCCCTGAGCTGGTGTGGTTACATTTGATCTATGGTGGGATGTACTGCTAAATTCAGTGAAACAACATCGGAGAAGGCTTGTGGTAGTAAAAGGAAAATTCAGTTCATGGTCAACAGCTCAGGTGGACATTCCTGTGCTTGAAATAAAGGTCCAGAGCTGAAGTGGTTACACGTGACCTGCGGTTGGATGCACTGCCAAATTCACGTAAACAACATGAAAAAGGCCTGTAGTAGTTAAAGGAAAATTCAGTTTGTGGTCAACAGCTCAGATGGACATTCCTGTGCCTGAAATAAAGGTCCTGAGCTAAAGTGGTTACGCGTGGATGTACTGCCAAATTCGCTGAAACAACATTGGAGAAAGCTTATGGAAGTAAAAGGAAAATTCAGTTCATGGTCAACAGCTCAGGTGGACATTCCTGTGCCTGAAATAAAGGTCCTGAGCTGGAGTGGTTAAACGTGATCTGCGGTTGGATGTACTGCCAAATTCACAGAAGCAAAATGAAGAAGGCCTGTAGTAGTAAAATGAAAATTCAGTTCATGGTCAGCAGCTCAGGTGGACATTCCTGTAGTCAGCATACTGATGGCACACTCCCTCAAAACTTAAAACATCTCTGGCCGTGGGTTGTGTAATAAAACACCACATTTTAAATTTGCCTTTTATTGTGACCATCCCGGGGCACACGTGTAATAATGCGCTGTTTAATCTGGACCTTGATAAGCCACAGATTTCGGATGGATGGATTACTTATTATGTTGGTCAAAATGCTCACTAACATGGATCGAAACACATGTGTGACAACCTGTGATAACAGGTTATCCACTCTGTACTGCAGTTGAAAAGAGAATTATTGGCTACTGGGGCATATAGATATTTCCCTCAGATTATAATAAAATGGGAGCAAAAACTAAAGTGTCACATTCCTATTTTGCCCAGTGTAGAATACAACTGCAGCTTTTTCTCACCTATCAATGAAAAACCTCTGAAACCCAAAGAGCTTTTCGTACCACCTCATGACCTGGTGGGTTGTCTTCCTGGGACAGGCATATGTTATGTGATCAAAATGTGTGATGGGACAAGACATGTCCTTCTCTGGCGAGCTGCAGTCCTTTTCAATGACATCAAAGCCAGGCAAGAAGCTCCCCTTGTATTTTGTCCTGTCAATCAGTGTGTGGCACACATTTCCCACAATGGATTTAACCACCGAGTAGGTGACAGGACCACACTCGTCCAAAACTGTTGTGGGCGGCACCACGAAATTGCAGCCCAGGTTGCGAAGAGCCATGAATGACCTTTCCACATCCTCCACCTCGAAGCACACGTTGCTGACAGTATCCACCGGGTGATTTGGGCTCACATCGTACAAACATTTAATAGAGTAATCCTGGTTGTGTTTCCCCATGTTGACCACGCGCGGATCTTCATTCATTCTCACATTGCTGTAGTTTGGTCTCTCATTCACGATGAAAACAGCTGCTCCTTTCCTGAAAGCCAGCTGTGTGGATCTGTCGGTCAGTCTGGTGGCAAACAGACTAAACTTAAATTTAGAAACAAGGTCGCTGGCCACTTTTTCCGCGTTAGAAACGTGGAGCGAGATGTGATGCAGCCGATTCAAGAAAGCTGCCATGTTTGCCATGTGACGTTTTGACAGGAGGCGTGTCCAACAATATAAAATAAACCCTGCGTCTAAAACAAAGGTGATACCATGTCCATTTATTATTTTGATTGTTAATATGAATTCTGCATCTTTATATTGTTCGTGTGCGTATGTGAATGTCCAACACATTACTCAAATGTATATAAATAACCAGTGATGTAACTTAGAGGTCAATTAAAGGTGATTTAAAACTGTCTCCCAAAAATTGCCTGTTAGAGTAGCATGCGTTTGTGTTTTTCTAAACATGAAACCTTGTTTTTATTTCTATATATAATCTCTAGCAGTTTTAGTGTGGACACATTAAAATTATAAGAAGGGCTTGCACATTTATGACATCCTTTCTTAGAATAAAATGGTGCACAAGACTAGATTAGATCAACTTCCTGTCTGCAACAT